GCGCGCGGGCCGCTGGAAGTGGGGATGGCCTATCAGGCGCGCCGCGCCGTTCGAGCTTAGCGGCTACGTTTACACCGTACGACTGATAGCGACCTGACCTATATCGTGACCCAAAGTAGGTCTAATCATCAACCGTTTACACCGAAAAGGACCTAAAAATTGATTGGGTCACATTTAGTCCACGCTGGTCCGAATTAGAGCCATCTATCATATTTTGTACAGATTATTTCCATATACAGCATTGTACTCGCCAGAACGTATATATAGCACTATATTGAGTCGGGATGACAGATATCTTAACCTCTAAAATCTCGAAATTTAATGCTTAATATCTCGGTTCGCGAGGCCGACCGCCGCATTTTTGCCAGATTCTTTCATTTTAAGTGAAAACGCGTCGAATGAGCCCAATTTCATCAAAATCGGAGATGAGGCCCGTATTCTAAATAATTACCATTATTTGTATTATTTTATTAGCAAAGGCATTGGTACTTACGAACTTGAATCGCTGCATAAACTCTTTTCCATCTTTTTTTTAATATTTATGTTTTTTGCACAAATCAATTAATCTTTTCACAGTCTAGAAGTAAATAACAAACCGGTTTAAGTTAACTATTCAACAAAGCAGCAGTGTCCTACCGAGCAAATGGCTACGAAGCTTTTAGGTCTGGTCAGTCGCGCGTTTATACCGAGAAAGTAAACGATCTATTTTAGATGAGGGCGCTAAAAAATCCGGCCTGACCTACAACAGGTCGGGTCAGGTATAGTAGTGTTTACAGCGTGCGGCCTAAATAATGTGACCTAAATTAGGTCGAATTTGGAGTATAGGCCGCGGACTAAACGTACCGTGTAAACGTAGCCATTGGCTGCATTCAGCGGACTCAACAGTTGTGAGTGGCACCACGTGGTGCCACTCACAACTGTTGAGTCCGCTAAATGCACCCAATAGCTCGCGGCAGTCAGCGAAGCGCTTGCCCCACTCCCCGCGATCGGTGGGTTGTACATTCGGCAGCAATAGGCCGGCCGGACGCTCTTATTCGGTTATCTTTAACCGTTAATATCTCCTTAACTATTGTTGACACCGCAAAATGGTACACCGCAAAATGGTACGGACAACAAGAGGATTCTACACATTTATGATCATTTGTTTTGGGTCTTTGTTGTCCGTTATAAATTATAAAATGTTCGACAAACACGTTAAGTTATCCGGAGATGTGAGACTGAAATTAACTAAATGTATATAATGAAGATCAGATTTAATTGTTGT